AAATGATTGACTTATATATATATATATACACACCAAACCACCAGTATCAGTATCAAAAAATATAAAGCAAAGAACAGTTAAAACAGTTAAAAATATACAGCCTTTGCAGAACCCACATCGACATTATAAAAACACGGACATTTCTTATATATATATAATAAAATGAGGTGCTACATTACTACCCTGTGGTCAGAATGACTGTATTTTTTATTTCTGCTAAAAAATATTCTCATAAATCTGTGAGTGGACTTTCGTACATTTACCGATGCAGAAACAGCTAAGCGAATGGACTTAGTTTTTATTTTATAAGTCACCAAATGAATGAATGAATAGACAAATAAATTCGGGAAAATATAAACACTTACCAAATTTACGTAAGTCCAATTTTAATTTCTTGGTGGGCTCTTTGTGCAAGTTGTACAAACAACGCGACGGAAATGAAACACTTTAGGAATGCTTAGACAGAAAAGTTGTCGGGGTTCAAATTGAGGTAATCTGCAAACTGGATTCACTTGGTTCCTGGATTTTGTGTCTGTTTACAGACACAAAATCTGTAGACACGCATGGACGAGCCCCGACCGTGTAAAGACGATCGGGGCTCGTCCATGCGGTCCGCGGTCAGACAATGATTTGAACATTTCTGGGGATATTTAAGCTGCGGGGAAAATGTCTCCAATAAAGCCATTTTGTCGCGCTGCCTGTCTGGCATAAATGACTTTATGGCGCCTCGGTGTGTGTGTGTGTGTGTGTGTGTGTGTGTGTGTGTGTGTGTGTGGGTGTGTGTGTGTGTGTGTGTGTGTGTGTGTGTGTGTGTGTGTGTGTGTGTGTGTGTGTGTGTTGGTTTGACAGCAGTAGAGATGTGGGGGAAAGTCACGTTTATTCTCCAAAAGCAGTCTCGCTGTTGTTTTATGACCCTGCAGCAGCCTTTAGGGGTTATGGCCGCAATAAACGAGGGGAAATTGAGGCACTGCGCTGACTTTGACAAAACAACGAGACAGAAATGTGTCTCTGAGGCACAAAACCCAGAACACACCTGAGAGCATGGAAATACCTTGACAATTGAATCTGTACAAATGGAAATACGAGTGTTGCTCTTGACACAGCTTTTATTTATCGTAGAATAAAAGTGATGGAAATTTGGGGAAAAGTCAATGTTCAATTCAATTCTATTGTTTACGTCACCAAAAGTTGGCCTAAATCAACAGCGATCATTTTTTAGTTAATTCTTTACAACGTCGTTCGAAATGTTATGTTTTATTGTTGATTTCAGTTTATCCAACATTGATTAATCTCAATTTATATTTCAATATTCAGAAAACTTATGAAAATTTGTCCGAATCCATACAGTAGCAGCTTCCCTAACATATATTGAAAACATATCAAATCAGATCAGTTAATACCAAAAATGTACGTAATCATCATATAAAATACAAGTGAAATGTTGATAAACCTTTCAAACCTATTTCAATAACTTGTCATTTCAAATATTTCTGTGAAAACCGCAGCACAGACGGGTTTCTTAGCAAGAACTACCATCAGTGGCTTAGACTTCACAAGCAAGTTTAACCCATTCCTAAACTAGTTAAACCATAAACCTTTGGTCAACTAGTGAGACATTTTAAATTCCTTTCAAATATGGTGGCTTTCCACTTATTTCTCTGACAACTGCCACTCAGATGTCTCAAGGCTCTGACTTAAAAAGCTTAACTTGCAAGCAAATTATACATTGACATTCATGTTAAGTTTATTAAATGTAAATTTGTAAAATGCTAGCAAAATTCAACAACTATTTAAAAAGCCTTTGCAGATGATGTGGCAAGGAATCAGACTTAAGCACAGCTTGCTAGTAACCAATAAGCATTGACCACTGCTGTTAGCTCTAGTGCTGTCAAGAAACTACACAAACCGTGTAAGTAAACATGGTTTTTCTATGCCATGCATTACTATCCCTATCAGCCTTGGAGCAGAACTATGTTGTATGGTGGTATTATCATTCTAATATAATTTATATTTTAAGTAAGAGAAATCAAATGTAGGCCAGATTAAAAAAAATAAAACTTATTTTTTCTCTTAAGAGCTCATGCCATGAACTGGCCGAATAGCACTCTATTGGTGCTGGGTGGTGATGAGCCTTATTGTTCATATCAAAACTAAATCATTGTTACAGCAGCTCAAGTTTTTTCTTAGAAAGCTAACAGAACCACTACTAAAAAATTGTAAATTAACAAAAGCTTATAGTCAAAATAATTCACTACATAAAACTGTTAGAAATAAATGAGATGATGCAAAACAGACCGATTTAATAAGATCATTGTGTTTTATTTAAAAAATAAGCACAATGAGCAGCATATTTAAAGATGAAGGCCTTACTGATGGAACCTTCCAGTTAAATGAAAAAAAATGTATTGCTTGGGGTCCACCTCTTCATCATGAAAAAATGACCTTCAAATAAATCCAGAATATATGGAAGAATTAGTCTGCCAAACACCAAGAGTATCCACTTTCCTCATCTTGCCAATACGCTTACACATTGTGCTGCTCTCGCTCTAACGTGAAGCTCTCAGATCTAATTGACTCAAGCAAATAGTCCTAGCTAGGGCTAAATGAAAATATTTGTATTTTGTCAGGATAATCCTTTCACTTCCAAAACAATCCCAATAATGTGATTATATTCATACTTTATTGTCTAAATCTGAGACATTGTGCGTGGTTTTCCCATATAGAGTAATTAAACCCAAGCTGTAGAATTTTGTCTCACCATGTAGCTTAGCAATGACTGGTGTGTGTTTGAGTGTGGAATAAAGGAATAACATCATATATCAACAACAGCATCAATGATAACAATACCAACGACAGTAACAACAAGGAAATATGCTCATGTAAGGAAACATGCACACTTTGGAAAAAAACTAAACAGGCAAGGGTTTAAAGTTCTACTTCTGATTTAAAGGGAGACCAGCGTTGGCTGAAACACAGAGGGAAGACCCATTTCCATTTTCTGAGTGACACACATACCATATTCAACCGTTTTTAATCAAAAACACATTTCACTGCATTTCTATAGAAAAATGTTGACGTTTCACTATTTTTTTTGACAAATGAATCTTACATCTCAAGATATGCAGAAATTTTTTAACTGTCTTCAAAATGACACTGTTAAACATAGACAGATGTTTGTGTTTTTGTCACTTGAGAACCATTTAAACCATTAAACAGTCTAATACAAAAAGTCATTTTGAAAACCTGGCTGCAGTCATTGTAATTCAGATAAAAGTGTTTGTTTTTGTAAGCAGATACCTTCCAGGCATCCTTGTTTAAGTTTCAGCTGTTAAACTTGTTTTAATTGGGCGACAGGTCAGAGTTTCTGCATCCCTACTTTGTATTCATAAACCAGCTGCAGACACACAGTTGATTATTTTTCAAAACAAAAACAATAAAAACAATCTCAAAGGTGTCATATTTTTGCTGTCTGCATTTGAAACCAACACTGAAACTTAATGCATTTGCAAACCACAGCTTCTCAAACGAAAGCAAGCCTTCAGTGGTGCAGGACCAACAAAACAGACTTGTAGGTGTTATTGGCTATGTGACCATGTGAGTCGCATGAATGTGAAAACATGGCAGGAATGAAAGGAAGCATAAAATGATAACTCAAACACAGGAAATATTAAAATATTTTGCAATTAGTCCAATAAATTGTCATCTTTTTTCCCTTATTATTTGTTTTTAAGGCTATTTTCTGTCATCAGGTGGTGCTGATGCTCTGCTGGGACTAATTTTGGAGAGATGCCTTCCAGTAAGTGGTGTATATATTCCTGTCGCACTAAAAGCCATTTTACAAAGAGGGTGATAAATTCAGCATTAAATCGTGGTTGTATTTTTCCTGAAAGAACAGTTTACATCAAGTCACAAAATTCCTTCAAGTGTTTCCAGTTTTAGACATGAAAGATAGTGCCTTAAAAAGCTTAAACTTTATTGGTATTTCATCACAACCACACACTGCAAAGTTTTAGATTTAGATTTTATGAGCTAGTCTGACACAAAGTGGCACATCAATATGAAGGAGAATGGGAAATGATGTTAATATTTTTCACAAATATAAATCTGAAAATGTGGCAGGAATTTGTTCTCTGGACATCTAGAGAAAAGACCCAATGCATGATACGACCATCGCCATGTTTTCTTCATGGGGATGGTTTTTTTTTTACCTGTTCCTTTGTCTTTTTCAGAGGTACAAATCTTTGGTATGCCCCAAATACGACGTATGCCGGCACCACACTAGAGTGGGCTCCAAAACGATGGCAGAAAATTACTTCTTTTCAGCATTTTCTGTATTTACCAGCTGCTGCATGTACAAATATGATAGATAACTGCCTGCCCAGACATCATTTGACAGTAGAGACAAAAAAAATGTAATAAAATCAATCAAATTAATTCTTGTGTTTGAAAATTTCAGTTTAAAGAAATCTAGATTATTTTCTATCAATCCTCTTCTCTGGGTCTCCATAGTTCAGAGTGATGCTATTTTTAAAATTGTTTTAAGAAAAAAAGAGGAAAAAGGTTAAAATGACCATTTGTGGTAATGGTGATAGCATTTCTGTAGTGAAACATATTTCAACTTTAAGGTCAGACAGTTTTTGATTGTTTTTTTAGTTTTAATTGTTACACGTGTTTTTATTTCACATTAGTTCTCACAATGAATCACATGGATTTCTGATGATTTAAAACATGAAGGCCTAATGGCAGTGAGGTGTCACAATGCATGCTGGTCTCCCCCGTTGTAGTTTTCAGGCCAGGTGATGCTGACCATCCATAATGGATTCTGTGTTTTGTTTAATGAGCTGGATTCACCACCTCTTCCCCTCTACAAACCCCACCCCACCCCATCCCATATATATATATATATATATATATATATATATATATATATATATATATATATATATATATATATATATATATATATATATATATATATATATATATATATATATACTCTTCTAGTTCATACTCCTCTTCTCCCGGATCATCAACTTCTTCATCTTCATCCGTCTGTTCTGGAACCAGATTTTCACCTGTCTCTCTGTCAGATTTAAGAGTCCTGCCACCTCCAGGCGCCGGTCCCTTGTCAAGTACATGTTGTAGAGGAACTCCTTCTCCAGCTCCAGGGTTTGGTGCTTGGTGTAAGGGCACCTCTTTTTACGAGTAGATTTGGCGTGGATCCAGCTGGCTGATGGATTTTCTGTGAAGAGACAGGACACATTCTTTAATTAGGCCACTCACGCTGTGGTGTTATTCCCACTAGCTAGTGCATGTTTATCCACTGTGAGAAACTTTAAAAGTTTCTCACAATTTCCATTAAGGAATAAAAAAGAAAGACAGAACACAGCTAAATAAATCATTTTTTGCACCAAAATTACTGAATTTCAACTAGTGTTAAATGGAGTCAGATGTGTGTTAAGCAGTCCTGGTCTATCTGGCCTTATAGACCATCGTGAATCAGCAGCAAGTTTCACATTTTATTGAAGATGGACTTTATAAAACATGATTTATTTCACCGATTAAAATGAAAAAAAAAAAAAATGTGTTCCCAAAACCTAGCCTGTTCTTTTTTTAACTAGACATTTTAGTCATAAGTGTTTAATTTCTAAAATATTAAACACTGTCAAAAATGTCAAGTTTGTCCTCCAGTATATTGTTTCTTTTTGTCATGGTAGTAGTTATTTTTATCATTTTACATATGTTCTTTCTTATTTTTTAAATGTAATAACTACAGGTAATACAATAATATAGTGTGCTAAGTGAAAAAATGAACCCAGTCCTTCATTTAAGAGTTAAAAATTCATAAATAAAATTGAAAAATAAATTCAAAGACGGAGCACCTAAACATAAGATTTAAAACTTATTCTACATAAATAATCGTTGAACTGATTGAAATAAACAAAATCAAAACTGAATTAAATTGCATCTAAATAACATCTTATGTTTTTAGAATTTTATGATTTCATTCATTGACTTCTTTTACACGCCTACTAAATATTAGTGCCTACAATAAATATTTATCCATAAATTATATCTTTACTGTTATATTTTTTACTTACATAAGGACAACACAGCTAGATTGTAGCCTTGGCCGTTGGCAGCACAATGACAATAAAATATGAATATTTCAGATAATAATAATTCATGTTTTAACCAAAAGATTTGCATTTGCGGGAGAGAAACGCAATCAGTCAGAATAAAAAACAAAACAAGAAAACTCTCCAAGTCAATCCTTTAGTGACAATCTGCTAAATAACAATAGGCCCTTAATTATTATAATGGACTATAAACTTTTATATTTTAGCGTTTACAAGACGTTTACAGGCCTATAAAAGTTGGGCGCACTCACCTACAGACAGCCTCCCCCCACACCATTCAGAAACTCTCACACTGAGCCACACCTGTGTGTGTGTGTGTGTGTGTGTGTGTGTGTGTGTGTGTGTGTGTGTGTGTGTGTCTATCGGCTCTTCTCACAGCTAATAAACGTTCCTTCATTTCGGGTTAACGGCATCTTTACCCGGGTCGAGCTGCTGCCGCTGTCGCGTAGTATTTCTCTCCTCGTCCTCCTTCTTCGGCTCAGTCTTCTTCCCCGGCTCTTCCGCCGTCCCCAGCCGCTCCAGGACCACCTCTGTGGGGCGAGCGAATCTGGACTCCTCTGCGCTGTCGCGGGTCGGCGGCGAGTTCTCTGGTTTAACCGCGTCATAGGTGGGGCTGGGATTAGACGGTTCCCCTTGCGTGGGGAGACACGAGGAGAAACTCGGTGTAACCTGCAACAGAGCGTCCTCCGAGGCCGGGCTCACCCCCTCCCAGCAGCGGACGAACCTGCTGTCGGACGCTGCCGCGGACGCGAGGTGCTCAGTGTGGGTCAGAGCTTGTGGGCCGTAGTAAGAGGGATGGTGGTGGCTCAGGAGGGGGTGTGGATGGAAGAGTCCAGGGAGGGAAGCACCGGGTGCGCTTTGCAGCTGGGAAGACGTCGGGGTGGAGATAGAAGTGTTTGTCCAAGGAGAAAAGCCATTCAGACTGGCTTTGTTGGAGAAATTGGAAAAATCCTGGATGTGTGAGATCAGGGTCCCCTCCTCTTCCTGCTGCTCCTGCTCGGCTCCCCCGGTAGGCTTCGCGCACCCGGACGTCGAACCCTGCAAACCGCCCGGGATAAAATGCGCACCATAAGCCTCCTCGGTTTGGACACCCATTATGGAATAATAATTCGTTAGGGACATGTTTATTTTATTATTTCAATAAAAATGCACTTAAGTGCGCCTGTAAAACCTCAGATGGGCTGGTATAGTGGCTTGCATCCCCCCCTGAAAATGCTAGTATTTTTTTCTCTTGCCCTTACCGTTCGCTCGGCTGCCAATTGGTTACACTGCGGATCACATGATTATTCAGCCTGGATGGGGAATAAATCAAAGCATTTTTTGTGTTCAGAAATGTTACATAAAATTGGCCGCTTGCAGATCTGACAGAATGTAGCATTCACATTTATGCAAAATCAGTTACTGTTTCAAAGCAAAATAAAAAATATGATGAAATAAATAAACTCCATAAAAATACAGTTTTAAGGCTTATGTCCTAAAATCAGCGCATTGAACCGCTGAGAGGAGATTTTCTTTCAGCAAGATTAATGGAAATATTATTCTTTGGAAGTAAATTCATTGATGCGTCATATTCCCGGGTTAAATACTTATGAGTTTTGTTTATTGCTCAGTGAAATAACGTGTGTTATGAAATAGCGCTTTATAATAAGCGAACCCAAACTTAGATTGAATCCATTGGACATCTTATTTTTCGCTTGCTGGTAAAAACTGAAACATTAAATAAAATCTAGAAACGTCAGTGCTGCCACTCTTTATACCGCCAGGTGTTCTGCTATCTGTGTATAATTTACTGTATAAACCCACAACCACGTGTGTTGCGCTAAGTGGAGAAGCGCCACCGGATCTTTTTAATAACACGCTATATATCAACTTTGTGAACTATACTTTCTGTAATGTGCATAATGGTTGAAGTGAAGTTTTGTAAGTGTTGCCCCAAACTTCCACACAGTAACTTGGATATGGCAAAATAAGTGAACAATAAAGAATATGAAGGGCAGAGGAGTTTAGAAATTTTCTAGCATTAGAAAGAACTCCAATACTTATAGCTATTTTAGATTGAACATATTTCATAGGAGGTTTCCAACAGATCTTATGAATCAATACTCCCAAACCTGAATTTCAGTTACTCTCTCCACAGCCGCATTATCAATTATTATTTGTAAATCGCTATGCCTTTTACAATTCCCAAATAACAAAATTAGTTTTTTTCTAAATTTAGTGATAATTTAATATCAAACCACTTTTTCAATTTGCATAACTCTAAATTCATTTCCATCAAAAGCTGCCGTAATTTTTCACCCGTACAAAAAATGTTTGTCTCATCTGCAAATAAAACAAAATTAAGTGTTTTGGAAACCTTACATATGTCTTTTATGTATAACATAAACAATTTTGAGCCTTGGGGAACACCACAAACAATATGGTGTTCTCACATTGTTTGTAGGACTGGAAATCCTCATGCCTCCCCCTCAGCCAGTGGCACATATTGCTGCCTGTTGGTGAGATAACTTTTCATCCTCTTAAATCACCACAGCAGTTCTGAGGATGAACCTCAACCTTTTTAAAATGTTTGTAGTGAGCAGCTGGCTACATTTTTAACGACAGTAAAAACTGTTATGTTTCCAACACTAAATGCTTAGCAAATGTGTTAAGCTATTAACATGTTTGGTAATATGTCAAAATATTGGGTATTTTAACAGAATTTATTCCCTGTGCTAATCTACCATTACTCTTTCATAGATTTTATTTGTTGTTAGCTTTCAGGGCCCTGTGATGGACTGGTGGCTTGTCCAGGGTGAACCCTGCCTCTCATCTGATGACTTCTGAAATGGGCACCATGAGCCCCAACATGCTGACCCTGGAAGGATCAACATGTTGGATGGATTAAGTTTGTCTCATTTAAGTCCACACTTAGAAAAACGTCATAGTTAATGCCAGAATCAACCGATTTTATGATATTGCTGACTACTTTTTTCTATTTCTAACATATACTGTCATGATGTGGTGAACCCAAAAGAAGCAGATAAAGACGTGATGCGGTTCAGAAAATTTAATTAACAAAATCAGAGTCCAACTTACAAAATAATGAAATGAATTAAAAACTGAGACACAAAGAGATTCTAAGGAACACGGGGAGTGACGAGCATAAAAATAAGGAAGGTAACAAGACGGACTGGCCAGTTGTGACTGAAAAAGACGAGCTTAAGTACTGGGAGGAACAATGACCTTGCTAGATGAGAAGACTACTTGCAGGCCTGAGTAATTGGCACAGGAGCTGGCTGAGGGGCGGGGAGAAGGTGGCTCAGGGAAACTAAGGAGATCTGCTGGGGAACACAAAAGGGAAGAAACAGGGAGCTGAAAATACACTAAGAGTAAAGAAAACCTCTTCGTGTCCAGGAGAACTAGGAGAGAAAGATATGAGGAAAATCAAAGCCGAACCTAAATAGAAACGGCTCACCTAACAATAATAACAACTAAGGAACATAGAGGTAGAGAAACTAGATAATCTAAACAAAGAAATAAACTAACTAGAGTTACTAAAGAAAGACTAACTGAACCTAAGGTGACAAAATAAGAACTATTAACACTAGAAGGGGAGCTAGAAGGACTTAAGAAATAACCTAATTAGAATCACTAAACGAAGCTATACATAGACTCGGACATGGAAGAATAACTGAACCTATAGGCTGATGAAATTAAGAAATAAGCATCAGTAGAAAAACTGTTTCTGTTAAGTGGTGCAGTGAATGTGGAAGTTCTGTGTTGATCTTCACTGTTGTTAGGAAAGAGAAATGTCAGTTTGTTTGGAGTAACACTGGAATACTGTGACATTGTATTAAAGCAATACTCTGTGCTTGGTGAAATATTTTTCACATTTCCTCTAAGGTCTATGAATTGTTTCATTGTGCTAATTTTCATAAGCATGTTGTTTGTAAACTATTAATATATTGACAGTTTGTACAATTCTATGATGGTATGTTGGCAATGTACTCTTGAAAAATGTTAATGTATTGAATACAAAAAGTACGTTTTTTTCAGCTGGAAAGCAAAAAATATTTAATTGTAATTGAATTACAAAAAAAAAAAGAAAAAGAAACAAGCGCACATAAATACAGGTCCTATTTGTTGAGCTCATAAGAAGGTAGACGGCCAAAATGGTTTATACAGATGGGAGCGTGGGAATCTCAGGTATAACATTTCAAAACTTGCTGCAATGCCATCAACAAAAATGGCTGCTTTGATAATGCATTGCAGTTTCCTTAAAAATGCAACTTCTCTTCTATATTAATTTTTTTTAAACCAGTGTGAAGGTGATCCAGCACTCTTTTGTCAGGACAATTAATCTGATTTTAGGCTCATTGGGTACAACTCTGAGGTAGGTTGGGATTTTTATTACTATTACTTTGTTTTATTCCTGCTCAGAACACATGTGTTCTGGTAGCCTGATATGTTTACAATACTGTAGTGTGTAGTGAAGCATGTAATGTACAAAGTGGCAAAGGAGACTAATAAAAGACAAGTAACTAAGTAACTAAGTAACTAAAAAGTAAATCAAAAATGTAACTGGGGCATACTGTGATCACAGTACTAAAATATAAAATATGTAATGCTCATATACTTAAAATGCATTCTAAATATTTAAATGTAATTTGAATACAAAAATAGTACACATAGGGTATACTAAACAAGCACATTTATATTACATAAAAAGGACTATACTTAAAGTATACTAGAAAATTAGTTGTTCCAAAAGTATACTAATGATTAGTCTGGCTTCAAGTATGCTCAAGTAGGCTAAAATTGAACATGCTTACTATATTTATCTTACACCTGGTGTTGGCAACCAAATATTTTATTTATAGACTTCAAACAAATAATTTTAATTAAATGAAGAAACATTTATTTTAGTTTCTATTAAGACTCCTGCAGGAAGCTGCTAGAAATCAAGGCCTGTTATGTAGCATGTAAGCAATGCATTATTTTCAGTATTCACACAAGCTCACAGATTCACGCTGCCATCACTAACTGAATGAAAAGTGTCCAATCTCCTTGAATGTTGTGTTGACATAAAGGTCCTGGGAAACAGAGTGGAAGGTCAGTCATCACCGTTTCTCAACACTGTAAAACAACACAAGCTGTTTGAAGTGTTTTTGAAAGAAAAGGGAAGAAAATCAATTTCACACATGTGAGGCACTTATGATGAAGTCATGTTTTAAAATAAGTGCATTTCTTTTGTCATATCATCATCCCTGATGTAAATGGTAAAGTGGTAAATGGCTTGTTCTTGTATGACGTTTTGTCAGGTACAAAAGATCCCAAATGCTTCATTCACCCATTCTCTCTCCCTGTGTCTCTCTCACACACCCACATGCACATGTACACACACACTGAGTTTGCTTTTTGCTACATATAGAAGTGCTACAATGATGCCTCACCATTTGCAGTGCCAATCAAAATGATTAATGTCCTTCAAACTTTTTTGTGTTTTGTCATATTATTGACAAAACATACATTTACTTTGATATTGTATGTGCCACGTGATGATGAATTGGGAGAAAAACAGTGTGATTATGCGCCTTCCATCTAAACTGGCAGCCACTTGACTAGGGATGTCCAAACTACGGCCTGTGGGCCAACTGTGGCCCACGGACCAGTTTTTATTGGCCCGCAGCAAATTCTGCAAATATAATTGAATGTGGCCCGCACAAAAAGCTTGAGCTCAACTCTGTTGCACTTCTCAGTTTCAACACTAGATGGAGCCAGCCACAGAAACGGAATTAAGAAAAGGAAAACTTTTTCCATGAGTCACCAGAAATGGCAACACTGAAGAAATGCAAAATAGCAAGTGAGTGTAGGAGATCTTAAACATGGTGGGAAGATGAGAACTGTTTCATAGAAATCAACGGAAAGTGTGTCTGTTTGATTTGCAATGAAGATGTTGCTGTGATGAAAGAGTATAATGTCCGTCGGTACTATGAGATCAAACATCAGAGCTACACATCGTACACTGGTGCTGAACGAACACAGAAAGCCAAGTAAATGGCAGCTAGCCTGTTAGCTCAACAGCAGGTTTTCTGTGCTAATAAAATACAAGAAAACGTCACAACAGCAAGTTACGAAGTCGCTAAACTTATTGCCCAGCACGGCAAACCGTTTTCAGACTGTGATTTC